GTAGGGAAATGCACTCAAGGAAGTCCTTCAAGGAGATCTTACAACCATTCCTGTTTCTGCACAGAAAGTCTTGCTAACCTCTCTTGCTCGGTTAGGTGTCTGGTATCTTGACTGAAATTGTGTACGTCTCGATTTAACAGCATACTTAAATACTTTGGTTAATGCAGAATTCTTACCTTCTGTGAGTCTTCTAGGGAGGTCTTGCACCTCTATTTCACGTGATAGGTCAGGTTCTCCTTTGTTGCTGTTCATATTGTTCCTTGTCATGCAAAGCTGTGGATCATTAGTGTGTTTTATAAAGTGTTCCATTTCTATTCTGTCTGTAGTCTATATTGACAGCTGAGAACAGTCAGGGTTCTTTAATTAAATCACTGAACTGACCCATCAAAGTACACAGCATTCTCAGTAGAGACCTTTCTAATACTGAACTTTCTGGCCCATACCCTCTTTATTCTGTACAGTTTCATTAAGAAATTAGAGGTGAGCATTACTGTAGTGTTGAATTATGTCAGCTGCAACACAGTAACAGCCATTTGTGTGCTTCTGTCCTGTGTGAGGTAGCTTACCCTCCTTCTTTCAATTACTTTATGTTGTGCCAGAAAGTAACTGTTTATTTACAGGAAGTTAGGATGCTTGCAACTCAGCCTAGCCTAGTAAGTTGTTTGTGTCTCCAGAGAGGAGGTTTTATTGATTGAGAAAACAGTCAGGAAGAGTATATTTTTAATTCAGGCCAATTTTGTTTGGATAAGTTAAGATTGTTTTGGTGGATGGTTTTATTATTGGACAAGTAGAATGTACAGATTTAGAAAAGGATGTTAATAGCTCTTTTCGTAGAGACATTTTTGGTTACTGGTTCACTTCACGTAGATAACTGTAGCTGTTGAGTGATAAGGTTGGTAACCTTCAGCAGGGTGGGATGGATTTGAACTTGTCACCTTGTGGTGAAAGTTATTAGCTCCTATTGAGAATCCTCTGATTTGTCCTGTTTTTCAATTTTTTTTTTTTTTTGTCTTTAGTAAATTGTGATTTGAACGATTTGGTTCAAAGTACTATCAAGCTGTTCTGTCATGATCTGTTAACCCC